GCTTTATTTTTTATAAAAATTATATTGTACCACAAAGATCATATAAAAAATGATCTACATATACTCTACCCTTAATCGGACATAGATCACATGTTTTAATAATTTTTTTGGATACGATTAAAAACATTTGTGACGTAAATGGATGATAGAGTTTTTAAAGTATAGACTCAAGACTTTAATTATCCTAATTCTATTTGCGCCTTGCATTTAAGTATTTTATCGTATCCGAAATCATCCGTGATATTGATAAGAAAATGGAGAATCCTTATCGATTCGTTACGAGAGAATGAATTCTTATTTCCCCGCTTTAACTGATATGTGCGAAATCTGATAACCGGATCAGATATCTCTTTTTGAGTTATCAGATTTTAACACCTGTTGAATATGATTAGTCAGAAATCATAGTTTTAATTATAATGCTAATTTAACCAAGTTAGGATGACGGGTGATTTTTTTTATCAGATTTTCTTAAAATGAGACTTAAATTTTTGACCCTTCCACTCCTCAATACATTCATCACTTAATCGAAAGCACAATAATGCCTTCAGATCCATTTCATACAGCAGAAAATATTCGCTTTCCTACAAACGAATCGGGATATAGTTCCATACCTGTTCGCTCGTCGATAGAAATAGCTGACAGGCCTGAAAGTAATGAAAGTAATCCATTACTTAAAGACGACGACGATAAATTTGATATCACAAAAGAAGAGCTCAATCGACCATGGAAGTATAAAATATTTGCATTAGTGTGCGCCTTATCTTTGTCTGGTATGTATGATCAACGTCCGATGCTCTGGTATAATAAGTCAAACGTGGTTTTAATACTTTTGGCCTAACATAGTTGGAAGCCACTATGCTGGTCATACCTTAGGAGCTTTGAAATCGACCCTCAAAGAAGTAATTCGCCTTTGATCGATCGTTTTTTCCAATTAATTATTATAATTGACATTATTTATATAATTATAGGAATTAGGCATCTCAAATTCTCAATACGGAATAATACAATCCTCTGTATCACTAGTTAATACAATTCTACCAATCCTTGGTGGTGTCTTTATTGATTCATTTGGAACATCAACTGGGTCAATCTTGGCTACATCACTTATTGCTATGGGAAATATTTTCGTAGCACTATCCACTAATTTGAAATCATTTCCCGTGATGGTAGTCGGTAGAATAATTTATGGCATAGGAAGTGGAACTATTGTCATAGTTCAAACGACTATTCTTAGCCATTGGTTTAAAGGAAAAGGATTGTCGATTGCAGTTGGAATACAAATTGCTACTTCAAGGCTGGTAAGAATGTATATTAATGCTACGAAAAATCGTAACTAATTTATGTTTAATATAACCATCGTTTTTCGTTTCTATTAAAGTCTTCATTTTTGGGAAATTTGACTGTTGTTCCAATCAAAGACGCTACTGGATTTTATGGTTGGTCATTTTGGGTAAAAATTTTTTTTAATTACACTATGTTTGAATATTTTTTTTTCCGATGCTATATTATATTAACCGCTATTTCATATCCTAGTTTGCAGCGTTTTTATGCGTAATTTCTTTAGTGATCAATATATGTTATATATTTGTTATGAAGATAATTAATGAAAGCCTTTCAGAGCAAGAGATCTTAAAACTTAAACAAAAAAAAGCATTCAATCCTAGAAAATTATTAGATCTAGCAACAATTTATTGGATTGTTGCGTTACTTGAATTTATATTTGGTGGTGTTTGGACGCCATTTTTACATATGAACGCGTACGTATTGTATTGTTCAACCTTAGGTATGTTTGCCTCAGATGACAACTGATGTATCTCGGACGTTTATCATTTGCTTAGCACTACATAACATCGGCCCTAATCTTATCTCTAATTTTGGCTAGTTGACATCTGAGGCCAATTACAGTTATTTGTCACTGCGTGCCCTAATAATTATATAAAAATTTGTGCTTACCTATAGAGAACTGTTAAAAACTCGATGGGGTTATTCGGAAAAAGAAGCTGGTACTATTTCAAGTATTGCACAATTGTTTCCAATATTTATAGCCCCCTTTCTTGGCTATTTATTGGACAAATTCGGTAGACGTTCCACTACATGTAAGTCATGCGCTATCCAATGCTCTTTCCTTGTAAACTTATAACCAAATTATGTTTATTGAATAATTAGTGATATGTTCGGCGGTTTTCCTAACTGCTTCAATGTATCTTCTTGAGTTTGCTCTTAACGTCTCACCAATTATAGGAATGGTGTTATTTTCAATATCTTTGTCATTTGGACCGGTACCTTTACTTTCGTCCATTCCAATTATACTATCATTAGATTATGTTGGCACAGGATTAGGAATTGCAAAATCATGCTCAAATGTTGGCTCAACTTTATTTGACATTATCATTGGTATATTACAAGATTTAGATGGTGGTAAATACGGATTGGTGATGCAATTATATTTGGTTAATGGTTTTATTTCTGTTCTTGTTGCTATTTTGTTGTTAATGGTTGCAAGAAAATGGCACGATGGAATATTGGACATGAAAGAAGACGAAAGAAGGGAGTATTATGAGGAGGTACGAATAAAGCGTGATGAGGGCGAACAAGGACAGGAAAGACTGAGCTATGAGAGTCAAGAAGCACATGTAGGATTTAGGCGTCCATTAAAACAAAATTGGGTTTACATATCAATTTTCGGTATAGTTTTAATTTTAAGTTGGATTTTATTCTTTATTTTTGTAATTTGATATGGTGGTCATCGTAATTCGGTGTAAAACATTTGTTGAATATTTATTTTCAAAAAATTAGATAATTACTTCTAATCATTTTGTATCCCCTTATAGACTTTTATATATCTTTAAGTATAATCTTTTTAGAATAATAGATCATGTACTTCACGTATACCAGTATATTTCATTATGATTAGTTTGCACAAATCAATTCAATTCAGGTGTTATAAGGGCTATAGACTCTAAATTCCTGCCCGTGTATTATAGAATATAATACATTAATTTTTTAAGGAGATATAACCAAGATAGGGAGTAACTAAATATATAAAACATATTAAAAAATATCTTTTTTCAAGATTTATATGGAATATAATAAAGGTTTTATTAAGAGGGGATATAAAAGAGGTTTGACTATAACAAGTTTGTTTTTAATAAGGACTACATGATAATAAAAGTACACTGTTCGCTTTCTTTATAATTATAGTGGGTTTCACGAAAAGCTATCACCTTTTAATTATGAAAATTTTGAAATTAATATTTTGTTCTAAATACAAAAGTTATCAAGAAAAATTTTTTTATATTTAATAGGTTTTTATTTTAATTATTGAATCTACAAAAAAATTTTTTTAAATATCTTCTACATATAGAACAGTATTTTAATTTAAATTTCTACGTATACGTAGTGATCAAAATTTTGGTGTTTATATATAATAAAGCATAACAAAATTCAAATTTATTAACAAAAATGTTAAATTTTATTAATAAAAATCAAAATTATATTAAATTTTTTTGCATTTTTATTGGTGAATATGTTATATACCAGTTAAAAAACTGGTGCCTATATAAAAAATATATTGCAATTCACTGTAAACAGTATTGCCAATAGACAGCTTTGGACATTAGTTTGAATATTTTTGAATATTTTTAAACAAAAATATAAATTAAAATTACTTATAATTTGTTAAAATAATCTATATATTTTTTTAAATAAAAAATATTTAGAATGCCTTACCATTAATATTAAAATATATATATATATATATTTAGAATTTAAAAAAATATATAATTATATATTTTTAAACAAATTTATTAATTATTATAAATTTAACATGTTTTGAATGTTTTTGAATATTTAGAAATTTATTTTTATTATTTTTTTTTTTGCTTACACTAAGGCCGTAATTATTGGTGGTTATTGCCTTTATTGTATTTTAATTATAATTACATAACTTGTACAAGGTGAGTATACAACTAACCACATGTATAATTTTTAGTTGTCTATTTTAAGTAGGCTGTCTGTATAGCAGGTTCTATACTAGTTGTTATATTTGCAATCTACTAAAAGATTATCTATTTAAATACTCTAATCCTTATACTTATACTAACAAATAGTCACAAGTTTTCATATATCCAGATGTCATCTAGCCTAACTATGACCTTCCTGTTTGTACATCTATCAAGTTTTTACATTTCAGAATATATTACATGACTGTAGACTTTAGAGAGTTCTTTTGTTAACTAACTACTCACATTTCAGTATCTTGTTAACAGGACTTATTTTTGTAGAGTTCATCCAGATCCCAGTATCAACTTTACAACATATTTTTAGTACTTATAGTATACTTCTATTTTTGACTCTAGACTTCTAATCCAGATAGCCAAATAGGACTATGACCTGTTTCTGGTACTTCAAGATTTGCCTCTCAAGGTCTTTTTTCTTCAGTTCAAGACTTCTGGCAGCCTAGTTAGTAGTACTCTTCACCTGAGGTTCTTGCTCACCTAATTTTTTTTACATTGGTATCTGTTTTCTATGTCTAGTCTTTATAGTAGTATTGTTAAAGATCTGTGCTACCTCTTTACTTGGGTCTTTCCAAATAGGTTCTGGTTTTTCAGTTCACAGATTTACATAATCACAAAGACTTATCTTAGGTTTGCACTGCCTGATACTAGTTTGTATTTTTCTATATAACTTCAACATTGCACATATGTCCTATGACCTGCCAGTTATCTAGTATAACTATGTTACAGATACTAATCCTAACTAATTAATGAAGTATTATTGTTATAATATCACTTATCTTCTGTAATACTGATATAAAATAGATGGTTTTCCAAATTTTCACTATCAGTAAGTTTTGAACTTCTAATCTACCACTTGAAGGGTTGATAACTTAACCATTTTATTAAGTTGTCACATCTTCTATTTAGAAATTTAAAAATTAAGGGTAGAGTATACGTTTTTCAAATTATATATAAAACTTTTGGTAAATTTTTATTTAATTAAAAATAGAAAAATATTTTCTTAAGTAAACAGT